TTAAGAAGCACTTAAAGGCCTAGAATGTCACCGTTTATAATTTCCTGAAATTCTTTTATCTTTCCCACAAAAACCTTGTTACCCTCATCCAAAACCTTCCAAACTAAATTTTTCTTGCTGGTTCCTTGAAATGTGACTTGAAGAGGTTTAATTTATGGCGTATTTTAATTTTGAGCAGTAGCACTTTTGACAGTTTATCCAGCAGAGCAGCACATACCAAAATATTAACTCAAATATAAAATAAATATCATTGTATATATATTTTTATGTGCCTTATACCAGGTTAATAATGCAATTGTTGTGCATCCTGATTTTTTACTTCTGCTTAGGAATTTTTTTTTGCTGTCTCAACCCTTTAGCATCGCATTTTTTTCAACAGTTGTCTATAACTGTCCATGTTTATTTTTGCTGTCTGCTTGCAGTCATGAACTGTCTGTATGCATCCAGATTTACAAAGAGTGTGGAAACACCCTTCTGTGGCACATTGTTGGTCTGGTTTTGTTTTGAAGAGTGTTGTGGGAAATGCATTTTAACCCTTGCATGTTAGAGGGTTCCTTTCCATTGTGCAACAAAGTTGGTATTTTTTCAAAGGCTGGTGCATTTCAGCTTGACCAAAGGTAACTGAAATGCCTTTGGATTTTGAATGCCGAAGTCATGAAAAATATGGGAGAAAATATCCTACTGTGAAATCTAGGCTGTTAATCCTTTCGTAGGACTGCAGGAAAAAAAGTTAATCAGTGAAGATTTATTTATTTATTTTCTTCAGGAATCATTTTCCGCAGGTTTGGAAAAAAATATACAGTAGTGTATTGGAATTTTTCCGAACTCAAGACCTTGGTTGAAAATGAAGATTTTCAAAATTTTCATTGCTCATGGGAAAAACATTTTGTGAAGATATCCCATCTGTGCCAGAGAAGGATATTCTTTGTAAGATTATTCTATTCACTTGAAAGAACACCCCAACAATAAAGAACAGAAAAATACCCTTCAGCATGTGTTCATTCCATCATTAGATTTAAAAGAAACAATTTCAGAAATGGGAAGACGTTTTCTGTAGAAGAGTATTTATCCAAGTAACGACCACAAGAATGGACTGATGAAATAACATCAAATTTTCAAAACAACTATAGTGCATAGAATAAAAAGTGTAAAATTGAACAGATTTTACACTAAAACGGGGTTCGTGCTCCAGTCTGTTCCATGCTTGTCCATCTTGTGCCCTTGCTATTTTGGGCACCATCAGTGATGTTATCAAATTGCCTGCTTTGCATTGCAATCATGTTTTTAACGCTGGGAAAGCAGTGCTCTCGAAGTTTTTGATTGCTCCTGAAGAGTATATATGACTTAATTACTTCGGGGGTTTATTGGTTCAAGGGTACACTAGTAAAGCCCCCACTCTCTCATCATCTCCATTGTTCCGTTGGGTTAACGTGGGTTCGGTTCGGCCCTGCTCTGTTTTTCTTTAAAAAGATGACGATGCTCGTAAAGTGCCCGAAAGGAATATACTGTCTTTAGTTTAGTGCAAAGGCCTGTGACAGAACTTGAACTCCCCACTGGCCCTGTGAACTCGACTTTTAAATGTAGGAAGGGGACGCTTCCCGAGGATTGACCCAATCTTGGGGCTCCTTTCACGGGGCCCTGGACAAGCTCAATGATTATTACGGCTGAACTTCACGCGTGAACTTTCGGAACCAGACTCATTTAACTTGATGACCTCGCACTGCGCCGGGAAGTGTCGAACCGAGTCGAAAACAGTCAGTACTGTACTTTCTTTTACGGTCCTCATTTAATGCTTCAATTCGAAGCTTTTCCAGTATAAAGCCCGTGAATTTCCGAGTTCCGTATGGGGGGGACGAAGAAGTGCCACAGGTTGGGGATCCGAGTCTCCCGACAGGAGAAAAACGAAATTGAGTAAAATAAAAGCGTCTTCCAGTTGAATATGCATGTGGCAACCCTGATCTAGATGTGGCTATAAGGGAAACAGTCCTAGGTTACCAACACACAGGAGGGTGAATCAGAATGGACTGAAAAACAGGGACCTTGGGGGAGGATTAGGAATGGAGTCCTGTACAGTATAGGAGTGTTGACTCCGTGGTCAACAAAAAAAAAAGTGCCTCTGCGCAATAAAACAGAACCCCGTGGCGGAAATTGGTCGGTGCTGGCGTTTCCCACGTTGCCTGATTATCCGTGATGTCGTTATCCCGACCCTGGGGGGAACCGCCATCTTTTACTGCCTCGTCGCGGTTTAATTGCGAAGGCGTCATTTTCGCGGGATTCTGGTCAATCGAGCTTTTTTTTATTTTCCTGCACCGGATCCTATCGTCTTCGTCAATGATGAACTGTTTGTCAATGATTCGAAGTTCGTGCTGTGATATAATAATTTTTGCTCCTCTTTGGCCTTGGAGGTTACGATTTTTGGTGAAATTGTGGTAAATTAGCGGGATATTTATAGGCTGATGTGGATGATCATCAGAAGAGCAAAAGAGCAAGAATAAAAGCTTGTGGGCTGAAAATGAGAGATTTTAAATGTTTCTGTGCTTTGTGACTTCGAATCGAACTGTTTGTCAATAATCCGAAGTTTGTGCTGTGATAGAATAATTTTTGCTTCTCTTTGGACTTGAAGGCGACGATTTTTGGTGAAATTGTGGTAAATTAGCGGGGTATTCATGAGCTGATGATCATCACAAGAGAAAAAGAGCAATAATTAAAAGTGCATGTACTCTAAAAGAGAGATTTCAGATTTTTGTGTACCTTTCTCAGATTTTTCCCCCACTCTTCTGTATGCGAGCTCTCTTGGTACCGTACCTGAAAAAAATACAAATGGCTTTTCTCTCTACAACGATTTTCTGCGTATAACGAATTTTCTTCTTTTGCCCATAGGGTTCTTTCCATGTTCTCTACGATGAAATTCTCTCTACAACGAATTTTATTCCTGACCTTTTAATGTTGTTGTAGAGAGTACGTATGTACAGATATTTCAATTCAGGCGTATTCTCTGTGAGATTCTCCTCTAAATCTTTATATTTTTTTTTACCGCTTCATGGAGGATTCTCTTCAACGAATTATTTTCTGGTCGCTCGAATTTTGTTGTAGAGAGATTTCACTTATATATTGATTCTTCGTCGATTGCTCCTTCAAATCTTTTTCTTTATTGATGCTTCATGCTTTTCGACTGAACTATTTCGTCGGAAGAAAACGAGTATCAGTTAAGCGGCGATTTAAATCCCCCCCCCCCCACGATTTCCGTGCAAAATCTGACGAGAAATCCGACAATGAATATTCGCTTGGTTCGTGATTATCGCCTCTGAATATCTAGAAGGCGGTGTCATCCAATGGTTACGCGGAGATTGTACTTTTGTTTTGTTATTGTTGTTGTGTGGATCAATCCTGTCGATGCCAGATTGCTAAGGGAATGTCTACGGAGGGATGAAAAAGATGGTTGCGTGTTTTCGGGAGCATTGCCTTATAAAGGGATTTGTGCGGGGAACTGAAAAGGGAAATTCTTCTTTTCTTTCCCCCTTCAAGCCGGGCTTCAGATCGAGACCTTTGGCTCTTGAAGGTGATTGTTAGGCACGGATGTTGTTTTTTTCTTTCGTTTCTGGTTCGAGGGGGGGGGGGGGGAGTGGGGTTGAAGGTAATTATTGTTTTCCTCCCAGCCCGGGTTTCCTGTAATGACACCGGTGCTGTCAAGTGTCCTGAAGCTCTTGAAGTGCTCTGTGATTCCGTGGAATGTGTTTTTCTGCCTCCGTGTGCGTATTTCTTATTTTTATTTCTTTTCCCCGGAGCGAGGGTCCGGTCCCTTACCTGGGTGCCCCAGTTTCGCAATCCGTATATACGACTGTAGAAAGGGGGTTCATTTGCATTCAGGATTATTTCTGGGCGGAGGGGTTGGGGTTGGGGTGGCGGCGGAGAAACAAACAGGGTTGCCACTGGGGAGCCGCGATCCGAAATTTTCATGCGCGAATTTCGATGGAGACGGGTTCCGTCTGCGCTATTCATTCCCGAAGCCGGGATTTCACGCGATATCCCTGAAATTCACCGGACTTGAGGGCTTTCGGAATAGTGGCCCGCGTGCAGGAATTTCAAGAGCATAAAGCCGAAATCCGTTCGACTTCCATCCGAAAGCTTCAATATTCTGTGTTTTTTTTTTCTCACTTGCAAAAATGCAAAATCTGAGGAGAGTCGATGCGTGGAAATGAGATCGTGATTCCATAAACTGCTGTGATTCATGCATCGGTTTTATGTGGTGTCAGTACGAGTATGTAATTACTTGACGACGAGTGTGAAGGTAATTTCGAAATAATTGGCTGCTTCTAATGAGTTCCCTGATCCGCGTGCAGTGCGGATTAACTCATTATCACTCACTTTTTCTGTCAGTAGTGATTCAATGAGTAGTTTAACAACGTATACAAAAACGAAAATTCACAACGAGTATTTTTTTTCTGCGATAATTTTTGTCGAGACGAGGCGTGTTCACCTGTAGCAACAATTTGTAGAAATGTTTATTTTCAACGAATTCATGCCCTTCTCGGGTTTTCTAGATCATCTAGAATATTTCAGCTCTTGGAAGAATTTGTTCTTCCGTCAATTTTTTTGGTCGACCGATTTTTAAAATTTTGTATGCAAAAACGAAATTTCTCAATGACTATATTTTTCTGCGATAATTTCTGTTGAGAGGAGTTGTGTTCAGCCTTAGAAACAATTTCTAGAAATGTTTATTCAAGCTAATTTATACTTTCCTCGGGTCTTCTAGATTATCTAGATATATTTTTTGAATATTTGATCTCTTGGACGAATTTGTTTCTGTCGAATGTTTTGGTCGACCGATTTTCATAATGCCGCACGTGCTCGGTTGATACAAGGCATTTTTGTGCAGGATTTCGTCTTCTGTTTGTTCGAAAATACATTATTGAAGTCGCAGGAGGTTGTTGAAGCCAGCAGGTGGGCCTAGACATGGGTATGACAGGCAGAGAATAAGTGATGACTGAGACTGTCAGGCAATGACACAGAACCTACAACGGCTGGATCTAATTAACCTTTCAGTGGACGAGGTGCCATTAATTCTCCAGAACCCGGGTCAATTCCAGTGTAATGCCGAACCTAGGGAACCCCTCCCTGATTGACGGGTGCTCAATTATGAACGCCTTTTTTGCTTGATCGCTGACGTTGATTTTTTTCCTCGCTTATTTTTTCCAGAGAGCCTGAGGGAGTATTTCTGCAAATACGGGGAAATCACTGAGGTGATGGTGATGAAGGACCCGACCACTCGTCGATCCAGGTCAGTTTTCTGCTCTAATTCCTCCGGGTTTGTGCTGGGTCAAGAGGGAAGTCTCTGGAAAGCTTCTCTGGGTCTTCTCTTTTGAACTTCCTCAGCAAACTCCAGCTTTTCCCCTCTCGTGAAGCTACTGTGCTCACAAAACTTTTCGAGAGTTGCCAAACCTTGGTTTTCATTCGGGATCGAACAGAAGCCTTACAGAAGACCCAGGCGTCCTCGCGTGGGCTATGCATAAAGTTTTCATTTCCTTTTCGTTTCATGCGAATGTCTCCTTTTGTTTTACGTAAATCAGACGTAAATGAATTTTCCATGTTGGCATATTTTAATTTTCGAATGAAAAATGCGTTCCAAACCATCATTCAAAACCTTCAGAATCGAACAAAAGCGTTACAGAAAAACCTAGGCGTCCTCCGTGGGTTATGCATAAGTTTTCATTTCATTTGAATGTCTCCTTTTTAATACATATATCAGACCTAAAGGAATTTTCCATGCTGGCATATTTTAATTTTCGAATGAAAAATTGCTTTCGAAATCATCAATGCTACAATTTTAAATGCAGATGCATTGAAGTTTCGCAGAAAACAGTCTCAACTACGTTATATTCTAGCAAATTCATTGATATATAAACCCTAAAGGAAGCTCGCTGAACAAATTGGCCAATGCTGAATTGAAAAACAGTATTCACTTTCATTAAAAAAAATATTACTTGGAAACCCGGGAGTTGAACAATTCGGTTTATACTTCAGAGATTAGGTTTAAAGAAACAGTAGTTGGAAATCTCCGTGGCCGTTTTTCTCTCCGCAATGCAGTAATTAAATCGCATTTGACATCGTGAGGTATTTAGGTTGATTAAAATTACTGTAATGTCTTTCCGTTTATTTATACTGCATAATACCACAACGCATGATCTAAAAGCGGACGAAGAACCATTTGACATTAAATTCAGAACGCATTTATGACATTGTGGGATTTAGGTGGATGGGGAACAGTGATGTTAGGTCTGTGCAGTTTTGAAAAAATGGTCGATTTCTTTGACAACGTGGCAAGACGTGCCAAGATGACATCAATTGAAAACGGATGTCATTCAGGGGTTCCCTTGTTGCATTCTGAGCTGTTGTGGGAAATAAGAGAACCCCCCTGAGCAGGGGTTCCTTGTAACGAATGCGTCGAAAGGGGCGGTTTGTCCATGTGTGAGTCGAGAAATGGGTTCGAGGACTTGGGGTCGTTGGCTGTGGGATTTTTGCATGTTTCCTCCATGATGAGGGGTGGGGATGAAGAAGAAGAAGAAGAGGAGAAACCGGGGGTCTTCGTGACACCACACAAGAATGCCTTGCGTTGCAACCAAGGGAGAGAACCAGGGGGGGAACCACATGTTCCAACTCACATGCTCCAGTTATGGCCACCCCTGACATAGGCCTTCATCTCGCCGGGAGCAGGCCCGGGGTCCAATTTCCTGGGCCCTGGCCTGCAGCACGTACCTAGTGCTCAAACCCAATTACGAGGGCCCAGAATTTTCCCCAGGCACGACTAATCATGTCAATTTTCTGCTGCTTGAGTGCCGAGGAATTTCCTCTCCCGGCTCAACAGACCCTTGTGCCGGGCGCGGAAGAGTTGTGCAAATAACTCGGGTCGGGTACCTGCAAATCCCGTCAGCGCTTGTTGAGGTGCCATGAGTGTGTCTCTCTCTTCCCAATTTGCTGGATTCATTTGTTGCACTCGACCGCCACTAGTTGAGTCGGTCCTCGACGGAATCCCCTTAGCACAACACAGAAAAATAAAAAAACGGGGATAGAAAAAGGGGAATAAAATAAATGAAAAATAAAATAAAAAAATGTGTGTAAACGTTTCTGTCAAATTCGCTTCATGGGAAGAAATGTCTTTTGAATTCAGTTCGAAATATCATTACGCTGCAGCGGGAAATCAAGAAGCAAAAACACTTCAAAACACAATCGAAAATATTTTTTAAAACTTTTTTCTGATGATTTTCAATCTTTGTAGGAGGAAATGAACTGATTCGCTGCACTCGAACACCACTAGTTATATCGGTCCTAGACGGATCCCCCTGTTGAAGAATAACTTACTATAACATAAATATAAATAAAGTCACTTGTGGATCAGAAATTGATGGATAAAGTAAAGTTCGAAATTTTAAGAAATAAAAGACAGAATCAGCCTGGGACTAGGTCGGGAATCCTTTTAGGATTGCCTATTTAAAAATAATGTTGAATGTACAGTATTTCAAATTTGTCCCCACCATAAAGTATTTTCAACACAAAGTTTTAACAAAACTTCAACAACTCAGCATCGAACTTCAAAATAAGTACAAAAATTGTATTGTGTGAAAGTATGTGTGTGCAAAGTACAAAATTCTCCGAGTTGTATTATTCTTTGGGACATTATTAAATACTCAAGCCAGTCTCAGGCTGATTGCTTTGTTTCCTTTATTATTCTCATATTTTCTTTGTTGAGACTTTTTTAGTCTCTAACAACCCCTTAGCACGACGCAGAAAAGAAAAAGGGGAAAGAAACGCAAACAATAAATTTGTAGAAATGTTTCTGTCAATTTCTTTTCGTAAGTGTCCTCGTGGAAAGAAATGTCTTGAATTAATTTTAAAATATAATTGATTCTTGAACAAATCAATAAGCGAACACATTTTCCTACACTATCAAAATGCTGGTTTTACTTTTTGAGAACGATCCTTAATTGGGAAATGAACTGATTTGCTGGATTCGTTTTGACCGCCACTAGTTGAGTCAGTTCTCCACAGATCCACCTTAGAAGAGAAAACGGGTGAGAAACACAAAAAATATGTGTCTAAATGTTTGTCAAATTCGCTTCATGATTGTCCTCATGGCAAGAAATTCTCTTGGATTCAGTTTAAAATATCATTACGTTGCAGCGGAAAATCAAGAAGCAAAAACGCTTTCCAACACAATAAAAAAGCGTCATTTTAATGTTTTCTAATGACCATAAATTGTTTTTAGAGGGTAATGAACTGATTCGTTTGATGAAAATACATAAATAGGTAAACATAGGAACGAAAAAAACTCTTTATGTGTGTCTGTCAAATACGCTTCATAATTGTCCTCAAACGGAAATTCGTTGAATTCAGTACAGTATAGAATTTCATTACGCGTCTTCGGAATGAACCGCATCGTGGGAAAATCTAGAAGCAAACACACTTTTCATCATAATCAGAAACGATTGTTTTACTTGTTGCTAATGAGCCTTAATTTTTCTGGAGGGAAATCAACTGATTGGGACAGCAACGTTTCAAACCTGTGATACAAATACAGTACGGTATACATATCTGTTATTAATTATAAAATCATTCGTCGACTTTTGAAAGGGTAAGCCGAATGAACGCGTCTCGGGATTGAGTCAAAATCATCCAAAATAAATGCAAAACTGCCGCTCTTCCAAATTTAATTTCAGAATCAGTATTGGAAAGTTAAGATACGAGTTGAAAATTTAAGACGCATGAATGCTTGGTAGGACTGAGCAAAATCATCCGAACCGTTTAAAAAAATTGCTGCTGCTACTGTGTTCGAAGATTTAAATCAAGTATGAGCGGGGAAAACTCAAGATGAGAGTTTTCTACCCATGGATTCGTGAGACATTTTTTCATAGGCTTGTGTCATTTATGACAATGTGCTAATTTGATAGACTGCCTGCTGATTTGTGAGAGATGTAATCATAAATCTGCTCTCCAAAGAAAAGTCTTGCTTCGCGATTTGCGATTCCATTCGTGAATCAGCTTTCGAAAACCTTAAATTCACGCTCCGTCTACAAATTCGAGGATCATTTTACAGATGTGAATTTACTTCTGAAGTTTTATTCACATGCTCTTTGCTTCGGACGGTTAAGGTTAAGCAACTCTTTATTTTTTATTTTTGGAGAGACATGGGTAAATCATTTCCGCGAACCTGAAATGTGAGTCCTTTAACATTGTAATTTAAAGGTCTGTTCTCATTCATTTTTGTTGAGCCTTTTCTGGGCTTAAACCGATTACTAGAAAAAACATTGGAAATTGTATGATTAATAACTTTCAAAGCTAAGTGATAAAAATTAATCTCGAAGGAATGAAAGCGTTGTTGGACTGCCTGCGATTTAATTTCGCTTCGGGTTTTGGGTCTGAACTATCTGTGCGACAAATGTGACTTTTTTTTTTTGCGGAAATATATCATTCAAATTTAAATGCTTTGAATAATCCCGATGATACTTGACTTCTTCCGAGTCCCTTTTCTTCCATATTATTTCGCCGAGTTCCCGAAAATTTCCCAACCAGGTCGTTTACTCCGCGGAGACGAATGACAAGCTCACAAACTATTCGGGTTTGAAAAAATGCGCGGAAAAAACGTCTCATTTCATTGAATAAGAAAAAACAAAAAATTCGGGAACCCAGAGAAGCCAATCCCGTGAAGAAAAACCAGGCGATGGACACGCCGGGAATGAACGTGATGATCGTCTCGATTTGTGAGGCCCAGGAACGCGTGTTGGCGAATCACTGAGCGGAGAAAAGGCATCAGCAGTCAACCAAAACTCCATTAAACAGTAAGAGACCCACGGTTTTCCCTCGGGAAATTCCTGCAGGTGGAAATTTGAATTTTTCAGGCTCATATTGGGTCATAAAACACAGTGATACCAACATTTTTCATGATCAAATTGGGTCGTTTCCATGAATAAATCTCCCCGTGCGGTGAATTATTCCTCGTGGATTTTGAAAACCCGGCGTGTAACCAAGCAACGCCCGACGACTCTGTTTAAAAATGTCCGCATTCCCCGTGCGAACGTTGGCAACGCTGCGGGTTTTTCGAAGTGACGATTACCGGGTACCGACGTCACCGAGTGGTTTATTCATGCCCTGAGGGGGCTTTGGAATTATGCATCGAGGAGACGGTGTCGATTGTAGCGTCGGTGACGTGGGGGCTATTGCGATGCGAAACGGAATATTCCGGGCGTGTGGCAACGCTGGAAATCAGGGTTGTCGGAGATTTCTTTTCAGAAAAGGAAAACTTCAGTATTCTTCCATGGCTGGTCAAACCGAAGCCGAGAAGAATGATACAGTCTGATGACCAGATCACATTTTTAATTTTTCCCATTTTAAAATAATCTCCTCTTTCTAGTGTGTCAAATTTCTAGTCACACCGAAAGAAATGGTTGGAGGTGACACACATGGAAAAGGCATGTCAAATTGAATTTATTTTACAGTACTTTTCTTTGAAATTACTGCTTATTTAATCTCTTGTCTCAAGTTGCACGGGCATCGCCATTATTTCAATTTAAACACCCACAAGCAATTTCTACATGATTTCTCAAGTTCGCATTTATTTTACTTTTGCAGTACTGTACTCTCCTTTCAAATTACTGCATACAATTATATGAGATTATTGTATTTAATCTCGTGTCTCACGTTGCAAAGTTATCAGCATAATTTCAATTTTAAAAGATCCACCCAGGAAGCAGTTTTCTAAATGATTTCTCAAGTTATATTTTATTTTTTCTAGATTCCAGAAGTGAAGATCTGTTTCCAGCTACATTAATCCGAAATCCTGTGAAATTTTTGTGATTGCAATGCAGTTCAGATTGAAAAATACCGTATCGTGGAGCTATCACTTGTGATTAGTTTTGGAATTTGAGAGAATTGAAATGAAGCATTTTGCTGGTTTTTTTGTGAAAACTTCAAACGTCTTCCAGTAAAGTGCAAAGTTGAAATATTCTCTGGAAAAAAGCTTCTTAAAGGTGTTGGAAGTGTCAATACTTTGTTGTCACAGTATTAATGAAACGGAATAATTTTGTTCCGAGGTTTCGGTGTAAAAAAATGAAATTTAGCGAAAATCCTCGGGTGTTGGAATAATGGAAGTTGAAAAAGATGAGATTAGAATTTTCGAAACCGACTTTTTTGAATAATCTTCATGTCGGTCGGAGTAATTGCTCGAGAGAGTAACATTTATATGCTAAGTCAATACAGGATGAATTCGTGATTCCGGTGTTCACATTCAATATTTCTTTCTGGAAATCTGAACTACATTGTTTTACGTGAATATTTTCTGGAATCAGGATCAACGCTTGAATGATTGTGATGAGCAAATTTGGTAAATTTTTTAGGCGTCATGTGGAATTATTTTTCCCCCAGCTGGAAAATGTGACGACTTTCAGCTCTTGGTTCCATTACGTAGGAAGAAGTTCCGACTGATTCATTAGAGCTGAATAGAGTAATGAAATTCTCTTCGCACTTGTGATTTTAATCACTCTAAATGCACGAGCACTTACACGTATATTAGGTTTGTTTGCCGGTTATTCAGGTGTGACTTGGCTCGCAGGAAGCTTGTGATTCATGCTACGTATAATAGTACTCACTACGAGGTTATATTGACTTGACTTTCGGAAATGATGACTCGTTTTGCAGTGTTTATTCAGGATAGATTCGCGTGCAGATTGCATTTGACGCGCCGGAAGTTTTCATCAACGCAGAACCCCCCCTTTTTTTTCTTCCTCGTTTGCTGAAATTAGTCCCGGAGAATAGATTGGTTTTCCCGTGAAAGCGTCGAAATTCGACCGTTTCGTAAACATCTTCAAGCCTTTACTTTACTTTTTACCTTCCCTCTGCCGACTTTGAAATCAATAAACCGAATGCTTCATGAACCGAAGTGACTTCGGCGAGGGATGTTTGATCAGCAAGCTTTGATTAGTTTTCCGGGAACTTCGAGTATTCATCTTAATTTCAGCCCAAGTAAACTGAACCCTGAGTATTGTGGATTTCAGTTGATTTCCTGCGAGTGGCGAGGTTCCCGCAAAGTTTTCCTAAACTGAAATTCTGTGCTAATCTTTTAAAAAAATCCTTTTATGAATTTTGTCGTTGGGGAAATTTTAGCGCTTGTATTGTTATTCCGATCATCCGGTGGTCTTGCAAATTGTTGAGAAAACGAGAAAGGAAACCGATGAAGGTTTCCTCCTCAATCAAAAATGCAAATAATTAAATTTTAAGCATCGAAGTCTGTCCTAAGCTCTCAACAACAATTATCCTTTTATTCCTGGTGATTTGTGTGCACAAATCTGTTACTCCTGTGTTATTATTCAAATCCGTCTTGTGCATTGTATTCTTATTCTTTGCATTCAACTCAATCATAAAATAAATTATTGAAAAACTAGGAACATATATTCAAGGAAACCCTCGGCCTTAAATTAAATTAATCGTTCGATTGCCTGCATTTTTATTTTTATTATTTTGTGATCCTTGATCACAAACATTTTATGCAGAAGAGCAAGCCAATTGATCAGCAAATAATGATGGACAGAGTTTCATTTGATTATACTTTTTTCTTACCTTTAAACCGTTCAACCCTAGAAACCGATTAAAAGACGAATTTGCAGATTGAAACAATCAAAAACGTTTTCATAGCTAATTATGAGATGTACTCTTACGAGTTAATATGCATTAAAAATTAAAATCCAGCTTGACGAATTTCCTTGAAAGCTGTAACGCACAAGAATGGAGGTCAGGTACATTTTATTCTGAAAATTATTTGCTTTATTTGTGTCTGAAAGTTTTCAAAAAATTAAAATGGTGGCGTGAGCAGCATGAAGTAGGTTAGACTTCTACAGGAATGTATTTTGTCTTGGAAAATATGGAGTTTTAAATGTTAGGGTTCGAAATGAACCATTGGAATATCTGGTTATAATCTTTTGGCAATGCAGGTCAAATCTCGTTACAACTAGCTTCTTCGGACCCAAAAGAATTGTTAAATAATCATTGTATCGAAATTAATTTGAATTTGAATATCTTAAATTTTGTTAAGAAATAAGAGTTTTGATTCCTTCGAACCTGAGTTTTTTTTTAGGCAAAGCAAAATCCTCGAACAAAATGGAAGAAATTTCCTGCGGAATAACAAAATTTTTTTTACAGCAGAAGTACTGTAATAAAATTTCTCTGGTAAAAATAAATTAATTTTCACATTCCCCTCTAGTATGAGGAAAGCTTCAGAAAAATAATCGAAAGACAATTTTTCTATTGCTTGAAGAAATTTCGTTACAAACCGATTTATTCAGCATTGTGGATGTGGATTTTTGGCCGGTATCTTGAAAATTTAGAGTTTTTTTATTCGTTGTGACGTTATTCTCTTGAACGAACTTCGAGCTGTGACATATTCTCAAGCAATGCAGGTGTAATTTCTCTGCAACGATCTTCTCCACGATTTTTTTTCTGTAGAACGAGGGATTTTTGGCCCCTTGAATTGCGTTGCAAATAGAGTTCACCTAATCCCTTGAAAAGTCTGATCACGCTTCTAGGGATCGAAGATGTGTGCTGATTTTCAGGAGTTGGAAGTAATCCATAATCCACGCGGAAGCTGTCGCTCGTATGAACGAGATCCCACCAATCTTCTCGAGGGATGCATATTGATTTCCACTGACTTGCTTCTCAATTTTCTGATCTGATCCCATGCTAGAAAAGTCAAGAAAGAAACAATCAGGCGTACAAGAGGGTTACGGCATTTCGACCTAGGAAATCCGCAGCGTTCAAGTAGAAGGTTTGACCCTATTTCTTGTCACTTGATGCAAACCTGCATGAATTTTCCAATATTTTTCGATTTGTGGGAGGAAATACTGTACCGTGCTTCTCATAAATTAAGGCTGAAATTTATGGAAAATGTCGGTGGTTTTCGAGGGGATGCTTGAATTTTTCCTCGTAGAATGATACAAGTTCAACGCAGTACAAGAGTTGAACCTTGATAACTCGAACCTCCCTATGTCGAATTTTTTTTAATGTTCCTGTCTGCATTTCCTTAAAAACAATGCATTAAATACTTTCCCAACTCCCAGGCTTTCCCCTTCAAAAGTCTATTACTCGAATTTTCTAGAGTCCACTTGACCATTATGACATTGACAAAGGAAAGAGAAAAGCGATAACAAATGCAACGATGCGTTTTAAAAAAGACGAATTGGGCAAATGAACCCTTGCCTTCAAGTTCTTCATCCTGTCAACTCATTCAAGAATCGATTTAAGGCCCAGAATATCGCAAATTTACCATTTCCTGTAATTCTTCCTTCTCCCCCCCCCCCTAAAAAAGAAAAAAATGCTTGTTTCCCTGAATCGATTGGTTTTGTTGAATTTTTTCTATTCCCTTCGAATTCGACTTGAAGAGGTTCAAGTTATGTGTTATAAATGTAATTGGTCATATGTGGCATTTGAATATCTTTCCGAATTAATAATCGGAGTACCTTGGGTCGTGTATTCGTTGGAGGGATTTTTGAAACTGGTTGTTTTGTTCGAAGCTTATTCCTTTGAGACGGGATATTTTCAACAAACAAACAAAAAAGCTGCGGTTTCGATTCGAAGACCGAAAAGAATGGGATCGAAAAGTGAGCGATTTTTCGCATCAACGACGGGAAGGAGGGTGGCCAAAATAAAACGAGAAAAAAATCAAATAAAATTTATTAAAGAAGAGAGACAGAGAGAGAAAAAAAGGCGGAGTGGCGAAGAAGCCCGAGGCGCGGTTTTTTTATTCGGAAA